GTCTTCCCTTCCTGACAATTCTACTTAAACCTTTCATTTACTTACCGACAGACATTTTGCGGTCTTGGCTTTGCTTCGGTCTGTATCGACGATTTCTTTACCGATAACTCCACTCTGTCTAAACATGCGGACTACTTCAACCGGCTATTTTTCAGGGAGCTGAAGATTTCATCTTGCGGAAATTCGCTCCTTGGCTTAAAAGTATCACGTCTAACGAAACAAACTCTCGACAGTGCTCAATAAGTTACATCTACCCCTAGCCAGCACTGGCTCTCGGCACTGATTTACCCCCAAGAAAATAAAATCTCCTAACTCCAGGCAGGCCCGAAATACAACTATTGATGGGTGGTAATGTCGACAACTCCCTTGGCAAAAACCCGCTCTAACCAAAACCTTACTGCTGACTTAGGACTGAACAGAGGCAACAGTCTCCTGGAAAACCGATGCAATGGCACGCCGGTGGCGTAACACATGTGACATTTTGTCTGAGAAACTCAAACTGGTGGATACACGATACGACACCATTGGTAGTAGAATAAACCTAAACTTGGCCGACGGTATATTTCAGACGACGAGAATCTAACCGTTTCACTCACCACAACTCCTTCAATTCTGTCTCCGTCAAGCTCGACCACTTTTTTCCCGGAAGGTCTCCCATTTGAATTTGAATCCTACAGCACCATCAGTTGTGTCGCAGGTCGCGGTCAGTCCGGTTTACGTTGCGCAAATGGTTGAATCCAAGGAAATGTCCAAGGCCTGGACCAAGTAGCAGTCCAGTTAACACCTCCCTCCGCTTAATTAATGTTCCGATACGTCAAATCCTTTTCAATCGCCTTCTCTTGTTCCTTTGTGCCAAAAGCTAAACATCGCAGAAATTTACGTCCACTTCAGAACACGCCCTGCCAAAATGTCAGATGTTGGTAAATTTTAAGACATGCTCGAAAACCTGGTCTCCCCACACCTCTTTTTCCGTCCTGTTAAAATGTGAATGACTGCTCATCTCAGCGATCCGGTAATTGCTTTCCGTGCGTATTGATCGGCCTTTCCCGTGAGTTTCTGGGAGGATTCCTGCCTGTAGGTGCATATATCCAGCTTATTGAGGGAAATCAGAGTGCTAAAGTGGATGATCTCGCTGTGACTCTAGCAGACTTGTCGGTCCCTAGTTCCCATGCGAGGGAAATCAGAGTGCTAAAGTGGATGATCTCGCTGTGACTCTAGCAGACTTGTCGGTCCCTAGTTCCCATGCGTGAGAGATGGCAGTGTTGGTATCCTTAACGTCTTCTGGAATTTTTCTTCGTCCCCACGTCCCACAGAACGGCGAAGTTGGTTTGTCTAAAAATTTGAAGCGGATGTAGTTGCGGACTTCTGCCGACACTGAGCCGGATTACAGAGTTTTTCCGCTGTATATCGGCTGCACTGCCCTACTCGTCTCCTACAGGCACGAGATATGAACAGGGGCAGGATCGAGTTCAACTTTGGGAAATTCTATTGCCGGCTTCTTCATAGACTGAGGACGCGTCTGAGGTATTTGGCCCACTGCTCTCAGGTTTTCGATTTCGCTGAGAGCTGGGTGAATTTGTCTAAACTGAACTGCCCTTCAGATGCTATGGATTAACGTTTGTAGATTTTCTTGGTGGCTATGAAGAAGCCCTTCATTTTGTGAAGTTCTGTCCTTAAAACCCGGTTATTATTTTGCCTAGTCCGTAGCCTCATCTGCATTAGGCGTCGATAGCAATAAGATGCTGCCTTGCTGTCTATGCTAGTCTTGTTAAGCCTATCTTTGTGGAGAGTAAACGCTGAACTCGTGTGCCGTCCTCGAACAGGGTCGATGAGATTCGGTAATTGTGTAGTAGATGCCATTATGACACCTGTTTTACGTGTTCCCGACATTGTCGCCCTTCCGGATCTGCACATGTTTTATGCTGTCGTTAATTCTGCAACCGGTAGCATTCTCTTTGTGCGGCTCCGCAGTATGACTCTGCACAATGAGTCTCATGTAATTTGTCTAAACTCGCCTTGCTCACTGTCTTCTTTTGCGAATTCCTGGCCTTTCTAAATATCCTTCAAAATAAAAACCTTTAGATGGGTGAAGCCCTGGATTAAAAGTAAACACACTCTTCAATTTCATGTCATTAACAGGATTTTTTGGTTGCCACATGCATATGTTTTTTGATGCCACGTAGGGTCTTCCTCGTAAATCATCATTTGTAGCATGTTAAAGTAGGCCCTACACCAGGGCTACTTACCTTCCTTTGGAGTGGTTTTCTAGAGGAAGCGCCCCTCTCGTGGACATGAAGAATGGTTGTAAGTTCCTCGGCTGAAGTTAGAATCTCACATCCACCCGGTCCACCTAGCTCAGCCTAATCTGCATTGCAGATGAGCAAATTGGAATTCGAGACCACGTGTGGATCGGCAGCAGGTGCTGAGATGTTATTCAGTTAACGCGCCCGCTCAAGTGCTGCCCACTTCAACCTGGTTAAGAGACTGTCATAGGGTGGTCAAGGGCGCCTCTGAGGCACTGTATGTGGCTGTTTAAGTGGTTACCTGGGCGAGTTGACGTGACCGCAAATGCGATAGCCTCAATAGGAAGCCATCGCCGAATGAGTCACTTGACGGAGAAGACGCCCGACCGTGCCTCGCTTTGTCAACAAATTGATATCTGAAGTCTGAGTGAGTGCGTCACATGCTTGGTCCTTAGCTGTCATCTGAGTTTCGACCTGACAGAAACAAATTACCGTATAGTCAACACAGTCTCATACACGTGCGCTGTTCAGTTGTTTCTTAAAAGGACTTAGATTTTTCGGCTAGGACTCTTTTCGTTGTTGAAGTTGTGCCCATGTGATATCTTCTGCATGGGGCGCGAAAAATTGAGGCTTCGAAAGCACTCTGTGGGAAAAGCACGATGAGCATCGGAGAAAGGAGATTACTACACCAGGCTTTCGTAAATTTGCTTGAGCACGCCTCAAGTGTACAGCCTGACCAACCAATATTTCTGTCGTGGGGTACGGTGATCCTGATGGTAGTATGCGATAACGAGGTCTGTCCGTGCAAATAAGCCTTTTTTCTAAAGATCTTCGGCAATTATGTTTCCCAACGCCTTTGTTTTTTGATTCAATGTTCTTTTCGTGTGCTTTGAAAACCGTTGTCCAGTCCAGCTCTCGATTTGACGAATCCTTCTCCACACAGCAAGCTCGGAAGCTGGGTTTTAGGCTTGATTGTGCTGATCGTTCAGCTTTTATTCCATCCCAGCACTTTAATCAAAGTCTAATGCGCACGGTTTCTCATAGCACACTATTTGTCTACGACTAATATGAACACGAGGGATAATGTACTCATCTAGATGATGGACCCCAGTGTCTTATTCACAACAGGCTGACTCCATGAAGAACGCCATTAACTCGTCGATACGTATACGGGTATGTTCGCGGCTGCACATTCACCAGACAAGTTGCCGCAGTGACGACCCACAGGAGGTGAAGTGTTAGCGCACCGGACTATGGCTACCGGAGAGTCGGCTAGACATGTTTCCCCTAACATGGTCGCAGTACCGACGAAGGAGTGGGGGTAAGACGTGGTTATGTAGCCCCACCTGATGGACACAATACTCTTGGTATTGGCGTTAGAGTTAGAAGTTAAAGCCAGGGGCTAGAATTAGGGGTTAGGGTTTGGGGATAGGGTAAGTATTTCTGAACCACTCAAAGTACAACCGCGCATTCCCAATAGCTTTTCTTTTGCATACAACTACTTGACCTCGTCGCCTGTGCGTTTCCAGGCTCCATCTGTAAAAACCCCCATTACCACCGGTCCCGTATTACAGGTGGCTGAGGTTTGTCTACTTCCGGTAGGGCTATATACTCACATCTGACCGGAGCGGGAGCTGTTGTGGCCATTTCACACTTATTTGCTGTAAATAGTTGGCAATTTGTTCTACATGACTCTGCCTACACTGACTTGGTTTGTTTCTTGCAAGTACACACCGGTGACCTGTTTGTCTGCAGACTTAAAAGAAAAATTGCTTCTTTTCAGGGGTCATTCTGATAGCTATCAATCCGTATATGGACCTGCCCATCTATAGCACTGAATTTATGGAAGCCTACAATCAGAATCGTGTGGATTCGCAGCACCGCAACGAGCCTCACATCTTCGCCGTGGCTGATGCAGCGCTGACCCAACTAAAACAGTAAGTTCACTGTCGAATCTGTTGCCCTCCTGCCTCAAACCAATCAGAATTCAGGTTCGCATGTGCGCACGGACCGACTTTGTGGTCCAATCAGAATCGTCGACTTGAGCCTATTTGCTGGGCTGCTTTAAGCATGAATCAGCATTGGTAACATACCTCCTTCTCTTGAAACGTTGCGGCAGCCTGCTTTTCTTGCCAGGTGTTGAGTTTCTCTGTGGGTGCCACGAGGTGCCTCGAACAAGGCACCCGAATACCGAATCAGTGTTGGGAACCGACTGCTTCACATTTTCACGTAGACCTTAGACATGAATGCGGCCGAGTTGTGTGCTGTTTCAAACCGTTCTCGTTAAAAAAAGTGACTACTACGATTGTATGATTTTTCCTATTGATTTTCTATGCCCTTATAAATTCAAGTCTATTTCACAGAAGACGTGCGCGAAAATCTTCGTGCTCATTTGGTGGCAAACGATTTCGTCTCCAAGGTGTATGTGCAAAGGGGCGGTTTATTAAGGTTTTAGAAAGTTTATAATTATAAGATTTTTAGGGCCGTTCTAGTACGCCCTTCTTCTTGCGCACCCCAATTATTGTGCCCTTTGTATCCTCATCATTATCGCCAACTACCTGGCGTTCCCGCCTAAACTCCATGTCGTCGCTCTGCTGTTTTGTACTCAGCGAACGTTGACAAGGAGCTAGTGAACTACCACAAACGTATGGAGGATCTATCCACTAGTATTACTTTTTACGTCCAATGCCTCGCATCTAATTCACCGCAGAGGCTCCATATTCCAAACTGAAGGCGGAGATCTTTCGCCCTGATGCCATGTCTGGCTACCAACATTATCACCAGTTGATCAAGGAGGAATCACTGGGTGACTGGGAGCCTTTAGAACTTCTCTATAGCACGCGTTTTCCCTCTGGAGACATGCAGATTGATAGGAAACTCGTTAGGGAGGAGTTTCTAAAGCGTCTGCCAGCAGATGTTCAAACGATCCTGGCATCCGGTTCTGAGGATCGCACCGTCTCACGGCTGGCCAAGATGGCGGATCAAATGATGGAGGTGTAGCGGTTTCAGTTACCCTCCGTCGCCCAGCTCTCCGCTCAGTCGTTGTCGGCAGCGAAAAATCAGGCAGAGAGGCAGATGGCGGCCAGTGCGGATGAGAGGGCTTTTGTGAAACTCCAGCTCCTACGCCTCACATCCCGTCGATCATCTAGCCGTCGCCGCTCTCGTTCTCGACCTTAATGCGCCGATTTTTCTTTATATCATCCGAACTTCCTCTTGCTCCTTCCGCTCTGCCCAGAGAAACCCTTGGGTCGGAGAGAAAACGCGACCAGACTCTCGTGCAGCTCAATTGGTCGCACATTTTACGTCTGTGAAAGTAAGCGCGCCAGACGAGGTGCTAAGGTTAGCGTCATGCGACGCCGAGAGCTAAATACAAGTCCAAAAGACATGAGTAACGAGACGGTCGAAGAAATGAACATGGCGGTGGTACGTACAGGAGGAACGGAAGAAGAATAATGCTGTCCTGCGACTGAAGGGCTGGAATTTGACGAGGAAGTTGTAACTGGTGGCGGCGGAACGGAGGGACAGGAAATAGACGGGATGGGGACCTAGAGGTGGAAAACCAGGGGAGCACAGGGCCCATCTGAAGGAGTGTTTGCGACGGTAGCTTTGAAGTGGTCTACGCTCATGACCTCCCCGCCAGTTCCGCGTTGGATGCTGAACGTCTTCGTTCCCCGAGAGACAACCCAAACGGGGCCGTAATAGGGGGGTTTCAATGACTGGCGGAGTCGATCACTTCGGTGCCCGGTTCCGCATCTTCGGGACTTTGTTGGAGCTTCCTTTGACACGGTCTGGAGTTTCATTCGAATCTCCAATGCGTCTGAGAACGTTCCCAAAACGTCTTCAACACTTTTCCTTGCTTTTCGACAGTTTCCAACAGTTTAATCTCACCCCGCACCCGTAAAATCCGTCTTGGGGGTCATTCCTCTCAAGTTCCTAATGCATCTGATTGATTCAGAAGTCATTAAGTCCCTTTCCTCAAAGGCCGCTCATATCGAGGACTTTCCATCCGCTACATTCAGGTATCAGCCGAAGAGGTTTCTCACTATGGTGCACTTTCATTGCCTTGGTGCAATGGCCCCTTCTTAATGTGGCCTCTAGGGCACTCCAATCAAGTGGGATGCAGAATGAGACTAAGCTGCTAGAAACGGTCGAAAAACAAGGACATGCTACAACATTTCCACAGCCTGCTCAACGCAATCTTCCCTGATATAAAATTCACGAGGGAAGAAGAACAGGAACAGCAGTTGCCCTTCCTGGATGTGCTTGTCAGACAAAACCTTAACGGTGAACTTGAAACGACGGTTTATAGGAAAGCAACGAACACCACACAGCTTCTCAGTTTTCACAGCAACCATCCGGTGGCTCACAAACGAAGCTGTGTGAAGACGCTCTTCAAACGGATCCAGACTCATTGCAGCAAACCGGAGGACAGAGCACATGAGACCCGTTATCTCCGCGACCAGTTTGCGCAGAATGGCTATCCGAGCGCATTCATAAGTCGCTGCCTACGCGGTCGCCAGCAGAGAACTCGAACATCAACGCCACTGACGATATGACATTCTCTGCCATACATCAAGGGCGTTTCAGAAGCGACCGAGCGCATTGCTGCGGAGCTAGGTGTTGGAATTGCACACCGCCTCAAAGCCACCATGTGCAGTAGGGTCATGAAAATCAAAGACCAGTTAAAGCCTGAAGAGAAATCTGGAGTAGTATATCGCATTCTGTGTCAAAATTGTCCTTGTATCTACACAGGACAGACCGGGCGCATGCTCGGATCGCGCATACCCGAACACAAGCTGACTGTGCGACGACGCGACGCATTATCACAAGTGGCCGCCCACACCTACGAAATGGGTCACGAGTTTAACTTCGCAGCCAGCAAAATAGTCGTCCACGCCGGAAACAAAACAGGCCGAGAATTGATTGAAGCCTGGGCCTCGGATGAGACCTCGGTCAATAGATTAATCGATCTGCGCCGGCGTACAGAGCCCTGCGCAGTCGCCTCCAGTCTTGCGCCGTCGGTCGATGATTGGCCTGCATGCCTTATAACTGTCGCTTGTTATGTTGCTGCCACTACCTCTGACGATGGATTCCCTTACGAGTCTGAAAGCTCAGGACAATAAACAAAGCGTTCCGGTGCTCGACTCTTCTTCTTCACTTATACAAGGTAAGGTGTTGGAGATGTTCGTCAGCATCGCGATTGGCGACTACGGCATCGTCAATACAAGCACAGAAAAAAGGAAGCCCACGTAGGACATGGCCGACGAAAGGTCCAACGAGTTCCCTGTCAATATGCATGTCTTTAAGGGGAGAACGCCTGTGACAATGAAGCTCTAAAGGCTTCCGGTCACCCAATGACCCCTTCTTTATCAACTAGTGATAATGCTGTCAGCCAGATGTGGCATTAGGGCGACAGGTCTCCGTCTTCAGTTTGGAATCTGTAGCTTCTTCGGGGGGAATTAGATAGGAGGGATTGGACTTACGAGGTAGTACTGGTGGGGAGATCCTCCACAAGTTTGTGGTATTTCGCCAGTTGAATAAAACACAGCATCGATGCAGATGAAATAGAGTTCAGGCGCATTCTGTCAGAATGCAAAAGCGTGAAAGCGACGACATGGGGGTTTGGGCGAGAACATCAGGTAGTCGGTCATAGTCATCAGAATACAGAAGACAATTACTGCAGTGCGCAAGAAAAAGGGACGTCAATAGGAAAACTGCGCGAAAATTAAATAATGCCCGATGTATCTCGATTGAGCAGAAAAAAGGACTAAAGTCTGTATGGAGGTCTAAGGTCACCAACGCCGAGGATGTTATACTCACGTCTAGCAGCCCATATGCTACTATTCCAATCCATTATTCATACACATCAACTCAAATAAGAACGACAGTAAGAAAAGCCAGTAAATGAATAAAATTAACACTCAAGCATCTAACTACCTGATGTCTAGGCAAAGGTGTGATGTATGTCTTTCCTTCAGCGTTGTTCCAGGTTTGGTTAAAACAAACAGCACAGTTAAAGAGAGGTGGCCAGACTGTCAAAGGGCAGTTAGTCTGTCCCCTCGACATATTCTACTTGAGGATGCCTCGCTGCAGCGGTAGTAAATTATCTAACTTCAATAAGACCTCAACGGGCGGCTTTCTGTTGCTTTGGTATCATTTGAAAATGGTATTAAACATGGAAATAAGTACCCTTTACCGTGTTATAGTAGCCTTGCCCTAATTCCAGAGATACCTAGTCCCTTTTTCTAAATGTAAACATAACCCCAACGCTAACCTTAATCTTAACGCGCCTAACCATAGCACTATCCCTCCCGACTCCAAACCTAGCCTTCTTAATCCTATCCCTAACACTGATCTCAACCCCAATGTCCCTCGGAATTTAGCGCCAAGCCACCTGCAAAAAGGACGGACTTATTCCAGTACCCTAGCCAAATGATGCTCGGTACTCAGAAGTTCACGACTCTACTCAGTTGGACGCAATCAAACGGCTGCTACTTCTGATCTTCCGTCAATTCCGGTTAAATAACTTTTATGGATTCACCTATGATGAATTCGCAGACCTCTCGGGCGTTCGAAACCGTTGGCCCTTTTACGATGGGGCAGTCAGTTAAATCACCCGAAGCTGTCAAAACATCTGCTAGCTCGATTCGCCTATTAGTTATCTGGTAGATTTAAAAACTAGTTAGTTAGTCAACCTACTTTAGAGTATTGGTGAATTTCGTACTTTTCAGTAGCTTAAACGGATGACTTAACTCAAGTGTGAAAAACCCCAGGCCCTTGGCCGAGGCTTCGTAGCTCAGGACGGTACTAAAACCTTGTCATCTAGTTTTCCATAAATGAAAGGCCATTTGGTTCATTGGAGGCCGAAAAACCTCCTATGACACCGGTTGTAGATTGTTCGTGTGTGTGCGCGCGCTGGAAAATAGTTCACCGATTCTCTGCAACTGCCTTACTGACCGGCATTTACGCATACCTAGGTTTTCTCGGGATCAAGCCATCATCATCTCCGGCGAGTCCGGTGCTGGCAAGACCGTCTCGGCAAAGCACGTTCTTCGCTACCTGGCCACTATAGCGGGCGCAGAGGCGCACGGAGATGCCACCGTGCGCAGCTCGACGGCTTGCATGCGCTCCAAGGTGGTGGACAGCTGCCCGCTGCTGGAAGCGCTGGGCAACGCAAAGACTGTTCGCAATGACAACAGCAGCCGCTTTGGAAAGTTTCTCGAAATCGGCTTCAATCGCCGCTATCGCATCGTTGAGGCCCGCATGCGGACGTACCTGTTAGAAAAGTCGAGAGTGGTGTTTCAGGTGAGGTCTTTCGAAGAAAATTGCCTGACATAATGCTGGTAATGCGTAATGCATCGCACGTTTCTGCCTATCAAGGTCTATTCCCGAGGGAAGGGACTTAAGTCAAAGTCGCTGCAGTGCGTTCAGCGACGGACTAATTATTTCCCTACAGTTAAGAACTAAACGGGTCCTGATATGCTTGTGATTAAATGTTACGCCGTCCCTTTTTCCTGGAATTTGAAGTACCTGTTCCTATCACTTTGTCTAATTTGCTACCGTTTGGTGATCACGTCAGGTCTTTACCGACACATAATTATGTGTGGTAGGTGGGCTAACACATGAAATGTCAACCGGAATTCCGTAATGTGTTTTCGTTTCGAAAAGATTAATGAAGTATGGTTGTAAAACTAATCATCATGCAGCGTAATTCTGTAATAATTCAGTTACCTCTGGATGCCGGCTTTCGAACGAACTTCTTTCCGTTTGTATGCAAAAACCATACTCTGTAAGAAATGACTACTTAAGTCAGTCATATTTTATGGGAAACACGCATTAAAATATTTATTCTTTTGCTCATTCGGTGGCAAATGACGTTTTCTTCCGATTTTATACTCGAAGGAAGGGTATAATCTGATTTTAAAAGAGTTTTTATTTGTGAGATTCTTTAATACCGTGAAATGACCGTTCATAAAACGCAATGTCACTGCAGTTGCCAA